GACGGACAGACGAATGGATGGAATCATGGACGCATGCACGGACAGACGGACGGACGCATGAATGGACGCACGAATGGTCGCGCGGATGGACGGAAGCAAAAACGAACGGTCGGATGGAAGCATGGACGGGCTAACGGACGCTTCACCCCACTTATCGTCGTTCACTCCGTGCACATTCTCCAATTTTTTTCCTTTTTTTTTGAAACGGCCCTGTTCTTGGCTAATCTCCCAGTGTGGGTGCGTAACACTGTTCAAGGTTCTACTCTATTTCATGTACCACAGAGATACTCTTTTGCGTTTGAGATTGCAGGCATGGCAGGCTGCGGCTACTGTTCAGTGGATGGAGAGCTTCCTCTTAGAATGCTATGTCTGGAGTGTATGGCACTGTTGCCACGGTGAATATGAATTTATCAGAATGGTCAATTTATCTTAACGGCTTGCGCACCATGGCAAATGTCACACCGTAAGGAACGTAGGTTAAAAGGGGACGACCATTATTTTACAGACGACAGCGTAACAGGAAAGTGGTAGTGGCTGCAAAAGTTTCTAGCCGTACAGATGTCTGGTAATTTTATGAAAAAAAAAAACCTGTTTAGTGGAAGGAATGCGAATGTCACACCAAGTTTACCCGTGGCTTCAATCTGTATCAGTATTCTCTATGTGTAATGGTGGAACATACTTTTTTCCTTCCAAAGAAGACATCGACCATCTGATATGCCATTGCCCTCGATTTGCCTCTGAAAGACAGAAGCTTCCGGACGCATTGAGACAATTGGGCGATCGCCCACTCTCTGTGCAGATGCTACTGGAACACCGACATCGTCTTTCGTCGGCTCAAAAAGCAGTCAAAGCTGTCTTGTGCTTTTTGAGGACTACAGGCCTACGTGACCACCTTTGACTTTTATGTAGTGCCAACGCTGCATACGCGCCAGCCGATTGACTGACAATCCTCCTTTTTTGTTTTTTTCTCTCACTCTCTTTCTCTTCTCTTTCCTCTCTCTCTCTCATCTTTATGCCCCCTTCCTATTCCCCCAGCGTGGGGTAGCAAAGCGGGCATGTGCCTGGTTAATCTCCCTGCCTTCCCTCTTTTTGTTTATCCCCCCCCCCCCTCTTTTCTGCCTTCACGTCTGCTTGACTATCTATGCCTGCTTATCGCGTGCTCAGACCAATCCAATGTTCCTCGTTCATATAGTCCAAAACATACCTCTGGCACAAGGGGGATACTGTTTTTGCAAACGTAATGAATATGCTCCCCTAACTAAACCATTAAATCCGGAAACATGAATATCATTTCAAAAGAAGGTTTGTTTTTAGGATAAGCTCATCATTGAGCAAACATCAACCCGTCATGTCACACTAAACACTGCGTAAAAGTGTTCAGTCGGCATGAAACATTCGTTAACGTTGTCGTTTGAAAGGAGGCCTTTCCGTTAACTCTTATCTTTGACGTCAGGTTTCAAGAGACAGTGTTAATGATGTGCAGAATGACAGAAATTTGGATGCCAATTCTGAACATAGAGGGCTTGTTCTATATGGTGATATTTTGACTCGTGATGATGCGCATCGGTGTCTCACGAAAAAAAAAATCTGACCGATTACGTCTATGTAGCCCACGAACGTACTTATGAAAAATATTGAACTTATCTTCTTATGTGCGCCCAGGGGCAGGCCAACAGTTAGAAATCCCCGCCTTAGGATGCTCGAACAGTGCGGCCCTTTCTGCACTCCGCACGCCAGACGCCATGTATGAGGGAGCAATGCCATTCAAACACACGAAGGGCAAGCTTGGGAGTGAGTATCTATCTCCACAATAGTATTCTTGGTCTTCACAGAGCATCCACGAGCAGCTCAGGAGTACCCGCTTGGTGGTGCCGTGGCGTCACAGCTTATCGCTGCCATCTCTTCCTCTTTCCGAATGTTCATCCCTAGTTGAGTCGTGTTCTAAACCTGGAAGCATATAAAATCCTGATTCTTCTCCACCTGTCAAGCTTATTTCGTCGCGCAGCTACGTCTCACCGACAGACTAAACAGAAGCGAAAATGGCCGCCACCCAGTCAACCGTACCCAGAACCGCCACGCATTCGACGGCAAGCGTCGCGCCTAGCGCCCTCTCGACGGCTGCACTGAGTCGCAACAGCAACGCCAGGTGGTACGCCGAGCAGATGCTGTGCGCTGTCTGCGTTTGTTACCCTAGCGTAATACTGAGGCTCATCGCGTTCCTCGCTCTCGTCGTCTGCATCACTAAGTTGCGCAAGCGCCATTTTATTGTGATGGACCCGACATCCTCGACGTTATATTGAACCATGGCTCGCGATCATCTCCTGCGTTCTATCGTGTCAGCTTACGTAAACCCTCGTTTGGTTGTGCCAAGAGAACTTCGCTTGAGAAAATGATCCAAGCATGTCGCTTACATCGAGTACTTTCTTTCCTCACATGTATTTCCAATAGCAAGCTCCCGAAATATTGCCTTGGTAAAGGTTATAAGATGTCATCTCTGATTATGCTCACGTCGTTAAAAAAGTATTCACATGAAAACACGATCAACAGGTCAATGTGAAACACTGAAATGTGACGCATCTTCTTGGCATCGTAGTGTTGCCAACGTTTGATTTGATGATGATGATGTTGATGATGATGGTGGTCGTCCTTGGATTATTGGCAGCTACCCACTCTAGGGCATCGGCCTTGAGTGTTATTCCAACCTCTTCCGTTTCGTCATTTTCTTCGCATTTTTTTACAAATAATTTATTTTAATATATTAGGGTCTCCCATGAGCGACCATGTAACAAAATATATTAAGCTCATAATACGACGTTTTCTTCTGATTTCAGGGGCATGCTGCATTGATTGCCTGATAATTATTGAAAAAACAAATAATGGTCAAGAGCATGAACAATGAAGCAGATAACAAGCACCCACTTTGTAGCAGTGGGACCAGGACATTTCTGGTCTCCAGCTTTCGCTCTCCATAAGCGCTTATTTATTACCTCTGCGTCGACTGCTATTTCATCTCAAGTGTGAGAAAAAATGTGCCGACCACGTGATCGCTTGGCCGAAGGCATCGACGTGCCATCTAGTGACGAGACACCTGCTTAGGTGCGCATGCACGCCCCGTTGTAACGATTGCTCCCTCGTGTCGCTTTCTCATTAGGTCACTCATCGAATTTGTGCAGCCCTTTTTTCTCATAGCGGCTTCGACAGGGCCGGGCTCGCGTCATTATTAATGCCGGTTGACTAGCATAACTAAGGTTGCTAGCATGGCAAGACCTAATGAGGCCAAGCACAAAAATTTAGGTTTTCTCAGCTCAGTTTGCCTTTGTCGAGTTAAGCCAAGTTGAAGTTAAATGAGCTAGTTATGTCAATGTAACTGTAGCCGAATCTCATCAAGCTGAGTTGTGCGTGGTATCACCTAATGAAGTCAGGCGTAAGTTTAATTAAGCCCAGTCCAGCTTGTTTTTATGTTAGGCGTAGAAAAGTTTTTTTTATCTTAAGCGTAGAAAAGTTTTGATGCACCCAGATGGGTCGTGAAATGTATGCCTACAGCCAAATCTAATTAAACATGATCGATCATTCTATCAGCTGAGCAAAATTAGCCCAACTAAGCAAACGTTATCGCGGCCCAATCATCCAAGTCGACTTCCGCATGAGCCCAGAGAAACCAAACTCAGCAAAATACTCAGCAAATTAGTGTTTATTGGGACTCTTACTAAGTAAAGGTAAATATTTAGTTTGATATCTAGTTCAGCACAACAACATACTAGACGTTCACGTGATTAGGCTCTTCATGAATAACTAAGCTAATTAGGCAATGCCAAGGTAAGCATAGATAAACCAGACTAAGCATGGTGTAAATTATGACATTAGTAAACTGACGCTGATTATAATTAGGTGTAGTTGAGCAGCTTCTCATTAAACACAAAGTAACTGAAGTTGAATTTCTATGAGCTCAGAGAATCTAAGCTGAAGAAGATATTAATTACTGCTGACCGAGCGATTCAAATATATTTCCTAGTTGAATCAACCACTAATAATTTTTCATTATATCTTTCTAGTTAAAATAGTTTCAATCACTGGAAGATTACGCAAAATATTGCAAGCTAAAAATACAATAATTCATATTTACGCTACGTTATAATTTTATTTTTAGCCTATTTTAGTCGTTACAAAAATTATTAATCGTAAATTCAGTCTGTATGATCCACTCGCCTTTTGGTAGGTACCCCTGTGTGGGTAGGTGCCAAGATTCCAAGTATCATCATCATCATCATCTGTGCGTATATCTTCAACACCTTCGAGGCTACCGGTATGCTGAATAAACCTTTTCGCAGACGTAACAATATTATGAAAGAATAGAAGGGTCAATGTTCTGCGATGTGATGACGACTATGAGAATGTGTAACTGACGCACGAAAATACTATTTTTGTTGTGCCATCGCAATGTGTTGTCCAAGCTGGACCAAAACTGCAGCCTAAGAATAGCATACTGAGCAGAATAGCATACTGAGCGCAGTTAAACTTAATGAAAGAAATGATCGCATGCTAGCTCAAACAAAGAAACAGACTCCTGAACGAACGAATAGGAAGCAGAAAACTCCTTTTTAGTTAACTATTACACTTTATTCTCGAGTAAATGTTTTATCCGTGCTACCCTCTATTCTTTCGACCTCATTCAACCCGCAGCAGCAAGTCCTAAAGCAAATAAAGATTCAACTTTAAATAGTTAGCGACCCGTATGCAACCACTTCTGCAATTAATTATATTTTGCGGTACACTTCTTCTGCGCAATGCTGTGACGGGGTTCGGTAAAGTGCGCAGGCCTGCCTCGTTAGCACCAGGGGACTGAAAGTGCCTAAAACTTCACCTTTTTCCGGTCTCATAAGGGTCTAAACGCTAGAAATATAGTTTACAGAACTTTACGCTTTACGAGGTCTATTTTCTAAACAAACCGGGAACGAGAAGAAAAGCCAGACGACATGCAGATATGACTTTCAACATTCTTATCGTGGACGTTTCGACGGGAGAAGGTTTATTTGTTTTTGGTCTTTTACAAAAGTTCGAACTGATATTTCGTGTCTTACAAATAAAAAAGACGTCACTTGGACGGATCTTTTCTTCGGTTTGCCGTTGTTTATGAACTTTGCGTAGAAAATCATATACGAGCTATCTGGTCACATGATGTCCTTCAATAACGTCAGGCACGTTACAAAGAAGCTTTTCTAGCAACAGCTTCCAAAAGCGGAAACCAAGAAAGACAGACAAGAAGAATACAAATTCTCCCATAACTTTGTCATTGCCATAAGCGCCCGCACAGTTGGGGAAGAGGCGTGCAGGTGGGCTGTAGCTGCTGTGCAAACCTTTGCCCAGGTGGTTCTGTTCTGCCACATTTCAATGGGCAGACTTATGACCATGCGTGTTTTTTGACGATAGTGGTGGCTGAGGAGCGCTCATGGTGTGGTCTAGGAGCTGCCTGTTTACGGCCCGCCTCTACCCTTGATGGTCATAGACCAGAACTTTCGTCCAATCCTGAAGATTCTTTTTCTTGTGTCTCCACTCAAGTGTCGCTGCAATAGTGGCCGTAGGCGCTGCAGGGAATCTCGTGTCTCCTACCCCATTACTGGAGAACCGGGGACATGCCTATTGTCGTCACTCTATGTTGTGCGTCAGCGTTGCTGCAATAACGCTGTTAAACCAACTCGCTGAAACACTGACACCAAGGCACAGTTACACGATGTTTGATTCCGAGAACGTCTCCATGCGTACGCCCACTCCGGAGTTCTTCAAGTGCACAACCGTCGGTAGAGGTTGTGACGCCTCGCATTGCTCTTCAGCAGCGAGAGACTTGTTTGCCGAGGGCACGGTGCGGCAAGTGGTCGCCAGCAGCAGCAGAACTATGGTGGCAAAGACCACAAACACGACCTGAAAAAAGTGGCGAGAAGGCAACCACGTAAAACAGAATGTCGAGTAAAGTACGTTCGTTGTCATTATGAGATAAAAAAAAAAATATCGATGCACTTGCACTTGAAACGTGAATGATATGGCAAGGGTGGAGCCGTCATTTACATGTCCTTCATCACCGAACTCAAGGAGCGTGTGTGAAGGGGCTAGTTGAGAAGGCATTATTAGATGAGCTCAAAGTGCGCTTTGAACGAGATGTTACAGTAAAAGCAGACAGAGCCGAACGCAGCATTAAGCGTTGCTGAAGTTTCTACGTTCCTTCAGTGGCGCTTGTGTTCTCGGAGAAGTGCGCCCTTGCGTTTCAACCATGCGACCTGTTGGACTTCCATGGCGGGAAAATAAACATTCAAATGGAATGCAGCGGCACTATCTCGCCTCCTTTTTTCACTACCCCTTATATTTTACGTCCCTCCTCATCACTCTAATTCCACTTTTTTGTATACTGGTCTCAAGGACATAGCGTGGTGTCATCTACGTCATCACGTCACTCAGAATATGCGGGGTTGCACCATGTGCTGCAACGCTGCATATGCTGCGCGTTTGCCACCATGCGTGCTTCGCCCTTGTTCTGAAGCTCATTACTTCAAGCGATATGACCATAGACGTGTGAACTTTGGGGGGCAGGGGTGGCAGCCGCATCCCCTAGTCACATAAGAGATGGCGGGCGGGAATTCTGCCGCAACATTGGCTTGTTTAAGATGGGGCACAGCGATACGCCCCCCCTTCCGAGAGGAACCCGGTGCAAGCTTATGGGTATGACCGAATAATCCGGGTAAACGAACCACGACTCGTTGCCCCTGCTAACATCCACGCAACTAGTTTGCATGCTTCGATCGTGATTTGACGCCGGTACAGCTGACGCCATGGAGGACGATGGAAGCGATTTCACGAAAGCTGAGCTGCTATACGAAGCAGGACTGACAGTTGGGCTAGTTGGTGATACAGTTATGGGCAGTAACAGCGCATCAAACTGTTCCATAACTGCTCATAAGTAATGAGATAATTCCCCGTTAGAGCACTCATGATAGTGCATAAATTGAGCGAGTGAACTCGCAACAACGAAGGAAATGTGCCACCGAACAGTATTACATACATACGCCTTGCGCTTGCGGTGCGCATGTATACTACGTGGGAATCGGGAGTAGAGTGAATCGTTACACATAGTTGGAAGTGCTGGTGGTATCTGCAAAACAAAGAGCCAATAAAGGCGTCGCTCTTTTCATTTGTGCTCGGGTATGATTGACGATCACCATTGTTTCGTCCTTTCTTCTTAAATTCTTTTTTTTCTTTTTTTTCACTTAGTTTTAGCCTAGGCTTACACTTGTCGTCGGCAACGTATCAACGTTGGTTTTCGACGAATGCGATGCGAGCGTAAACGTGACAAACTGTTCGTCTCGGGAGGACCTCACCCTGAGTGACACTTGAGAAGCCAGCGCTTTTCTCTTTACTCGTCTCGCTTACCTACCGTTAATAATATTATTTGTGGTGTAGCGTCTCGAAACAACAATATAATTATGAGAGACGCCGTAGTGGGGGGCTGCGGAAATTTCGACCATCTAGTGTTCTCTAACGTCCACTAACACCGCACAGTACACGGGCCTCAAAAATTTCCTCTCCCTCAAAATGCGACTGCCGTGGCCCGGGCCGGCAGCTACTTTAACCATGGTTCCACCGAGGTGGACTACTTTACAGTTGGGCTGTCATACTCCAACGCCGATAAGATTATCAACATATACCCGCGATAAGTTTCTGAAGCACTTGCGAGCACACGTGAGCAGTTACAGAAAAATCTCAGCTGTGGTGTGGGCCCGAAATCACGAAAGTGCTTCCTGCAGCCTTGCGAGTTAGCAGTGGCATCTTTTCCTGTTTTCGGTGCTGCCAGCCGAGAATCGCGCATTTAATTTCATTTGTGGCATGATGAAAACTTACAGCGGAACCATATACGTACAGAACTTTTGTATTTACCTGTACACCAACAAGCTGAAGCTTCTTGCATGTAGTTGTTAGCGCTGCTTTTATAGCGATAACGTCTCTGGTTGGCCAAATAAAGCTTTACACGTTGACAATTTAACATCGTTCACCGTAATTTCTTCGGAAAGTCGCATTACAAAAAATAACTACATGCAGCAGGGCGAGTAGTCGCGTCCTATCTGTGACATCAGAGCGATCACAGCGCCCGCTTCTACAGTGGAGGCCTTCGTGGCCAGTGCTGCACACGTTGTACTGTGCACTGCTATGGTAGGCACCCTCTGACCTCCTCCCCCTCACCGTCTCTTTGCTTTCACACTATTGGTGTACTTTGCTGGGCTATAGATGCTTTTGCCCGCGTGACGTAAAGCAGTGATATGAGTCGACAGTAAGCTCCCTTCCTCTTTTGCTTTCTCCTCAACCTCTCTTCCGTTATCGTCACCTTGCTATACGTGGCTGCTCTATAGGTGGCTGTGCTATACACGGTTCAGCCTGCAAAATGTCTTGCATGACAGTGCTGTGCTTTATCCGCTCCCCTCGTGCTCATGCTCACTCCCTTTTCCCGCTCTTTGGTATACATAACCATGCTATGCATTTGTTTTCCGTGCGGAATGCCTAGCGGCGAGATAAGAACACAGCGTACAAGGACGGCATATTTCTTTCTTCTCTCTTCTTGCGCCTTTTCTTCAGCCTCACTTGTCTTCCTCGTCCTCTTGCTGAATATTGCTATTCTTTTCACCGTTACGCTCTTCCTGGATTAGTCGGCGTTACGCTAAGCTGCATGAGACGACGACGACAGCGTACGATGACAGCCCGCGAAAGGACAGGCCCCTTAAGTGTGCAGTTTTTTTTTTTTTTTTTGAAAGCCAAGTCAGGAAACTGAAACTACGCTAAATTTTCCAGGAGCGTAAAGCACGCATAAATATCTCTAACTTCTAAAACCATAGGAATCAATATGAGGCAATTCCTTAATGAAACTTGAAATAAAGAAAACAGTTTGTAATAAAAAAAATTAGCCAAATGCGGCAACAGTTTCAAAGTGAGCCCCATTCATTAAGCGAGTACTGTGTAAACAATTGTCACCAAAACTAACAACTTGGTTTGAAGCAATCTGTTTCATTTGTTTCCTAGTAGCACTGTGATTATTGGGGTATACATTGAATCTCACTACGAACTTCGCTAATCATCAGAGCGGGGCATCAGCTCGGAGCATTAGCAGCGCTCCCGTATTAAGCACTGAAGACATTGACCTGCTAGCAATGGTCATGCCTGCTTACTATACCTTAGTTTGAAAAACAAAGCTCAGCTTTGTCACGTACACTGACGTAGACGACTGCGTCGGCGTGCTGTTCGGTCGGTGTGCGGTGCGGCCAATGAAATCCATGGCGAAATGGGAAGTTGTTTCTTGTCATCAGCACTGGCGGTCCTTAGGGTGATATTTCTGCAAATATACAGCATCGATGCGCTCGAAATAGTGTAAATGAAATAATATGTACATCTGCAGGTAAGGCGCGACACTTATTCAACCTTCAAGTGCTGAGAGCAGCTGAGGATCTCCCTGTGGCAATCCAATATCGATAGCATTTTGTTACTACGCAGGGTGCACATTTACATGCATCTGGTGCAGCTAACTCCCTGCCGTTGGTCTACTGTTGCTGGGAGTTTTTTTTCCCTAAATTTCGAAGGGACCTGGTCGAGAAGGTGTGCGTGAGTGACAACTTGATTAAGAGCACGCGTTTGATGTATTTTTTCAATGAACCCAATAACAGTCAATTTCTTTTTATTGTGTACGTACATCTATGAATCCTCAAGTTCGTGTGGTGGTACCATTTTTACTAATCATACCTTACGGATTGATTGGTTTATTTATTCTTTTAACCTGGCTCACCCAACTTGTGGGATTGGTCATGAAACGAGCGGTGTAAAAAAGTTGTTCATAGCGTCAAAGTATTCTGAATGCTAATGTTTCTATTTAATCAATCGCAACTTCTTTTCCAGATTTACTTACGCCAATGCTAAGTGTGCGCAGAGAATTGGTGAGTAAATGACCATTGCTTCCACCTGTGATTCTGCACGTGGTTGATGCGGTAGCTGCAGGATGATGATGAAGGATTAGCGCATTGTGATGGCACGGTTGAAAGGATTCAATGACCAACTCGTTACAAAATTTGTATTATGTGACACCTGGTTGCTATTTTACTCTTATAAAGTACTCGTTCACATACGTTAACATGGTTACCTTCCGAAAAACGCCTGTATAGGGTGTAAAGAGTCATTTTTGCAAAATAGTTTCTAGCACCGGCATGGGTCTGTGGTATAATAATGGCGATGTCATGGTGAGGGGTGATGTTTAAACACCATTCTATTCTGTATGTTTTTTCTTTCTTTTTTATTTCGCGCGATGGCGGCTACATACACAGACAGTGGTGGTGGTGGACTACTACGGCGTCAAAAAAGGTAATCGTGATCTCCTTATCTCTTAGCAAGGACAAACCAATTAAGATTTTACTCTCTCGCTCGCTCTAAAACACAGCTCGATCTGCGACATTAGAAGTTAAAGCAACGAAAAGGGGAATTATGGAAAAATAAGGAGGAAGCAACAAAAGGCAGCAGGCAGGTAGGTTAACCAGAAAGCCATCCTGTTGGCTACCCTACACTGGGGGATTAGGGAATGGGTACAAGAAAGATGAGAAAGAGGGAAGAGAGGGAAAAGAAAAAAGGGAGAGAAAGGGCACCTTTATTCTACCGGGGAGCTTATGGCGCCACAAACGCGCAAACTATAATGCCATGCAATAAAGCACATGAGTCGGGTTCACCAATCTATGGAAGAAAAGTATTTTTGGAGATTGCCTGTCGCATCTGTCGCATCTATGCACAGTGACTTAGTTACACAGAGAAGACCGACCGCACGTCAGTCAACGTTGCATTGACTAATGCGAAAATAGAAATACATGATTAGCGGGGCCTACACAGTCGCCTTCGGTGAAAGACATGTGCCGTATGGGCATTAATATGTAAAGCCTGTTCTACGTGACTGCACTCAGTACGTGATCGAAGAACGGCAGAGCTTGATTAATGGTCCTGCCAGCCTGGACAGTCATGCTGTCAGAGTACGTTAGGTTTGACCATTAGTGTGATAGCAAGTCTACAAGTTCTCTGTCCCGTTTATTCGATAGAGTGAACAAGTCTGATTCTCATAGGCGATTACTGAACCTTCCTGCTTCCTGATGGACACTTTCGTTTTGTCGCGACCAACAACAAACATGTTCCTATTTTTCATTCTTCTTTGTACTTTTCGGTCTTTCTCCCTTTCTTTCTTCAATTTATTTTTTCTATCATTCGTTCTTTTATTGATTAGTAATTACTGCAAACAGTATTGAAGTATTAGTTGTTCAATTATTTATAAATGATTGACAAATTATCTCTAGGGTGCACAGTGATGTACATCACTCAGGCTGGCCTCTCCACTTTCCGAAAAATTGAAAATTCTTCTTTTCCATGATTCGAGACCGCTTATGTGCGGAGAATTCAGACGCAATAGGAAAAATATGAATACAATTATAGTTAATGTTTCTAACCCTATATAAATTGTTGACTTAGATAGAAACCATAACCGACCAAAAACATTATATAGTGCTCCCGCTCCATTTTCATGCTTTATTCGGCTCTACCAGTGCTATTGGAAGGCGCGTTTTCCTTATCCATTCATTGTGGGTGCACTAATAGGTGCTATAGAGAAATGCTGAATGTCGTAGATGTGCTGCATTACCATTACCACCCGACTAAAGACGCAGTCTAATTATTACAGTGTTCGCATAAATTTAGTGCCTCCTTTACTAATGATATCCCTCCTTGACCCGAAATGTTTCTGACACAATCGAAGGGAAAGATTTCAGGACGTTAAAATTTATCGCTGTTATCTCTTCTCAACTATTCACCTTGGGTCACGTCGTAACCGTTTTGGATCAAGCACGAACAAGCTACTTGAACATGTTCTGATCGTTTATCTGTTGTGCGTCAGCAAACTAACTGTGCATTGTTCCATAACGTGTTTTTTGTGTTTCTGTCTATGTATGACTGGATTATTGGTGAATATTCACCACAGGGCTAACATTATTTTGGTGCTGTTTTTGTGCGTTAAAACCCTGGTATGATTGTGAGGCATGCCGCAATGGCGGACTCAGGGCTAGTTTTAATCTCATATAGGATCTTTAACATGCAGCTAAGTCTAAGCACGCGAATGTTCTTCGCATTTAGCATGCACCCCAATGCAGCCGCAGTGGCAGGGAAACAAGTACACGCCCTCAATCTGAGCAGCGCAGCTAAATAAAACATCTGAGCACATTGTACGCAGTTTGTTACAGGAAGCCTCCTGCGATCTGTCAATCAGCTGGTGTGTCTTTGGGAACGAGCACTTCAAAGGTATAATTTGTCGTCTTCAGAAGAAACTTTAAACTGCGTCGTAAATTCTGCTTTTTGTTATTCTCTACGGCTGGCTTATAATGTAGAGGCTACGACGAAGTACGTTGTTCAAAGGACCTGCGAAGGACCTCATGCTTTTCTGATTTCATATATGCTTGATACATATGTTTACCCTTGCATAATTTAGGTTCTGTTGTATATGCTACGTATGTGTTGTTGTACACGAAATAAGTACTTGAATAATTTCACACTGGATTGCTGTAATATCGTCAAAATAAATACTACATGCTATACATTATTCAATAGTCTATCCCTACTGCTGCCCTTTCTCGGGTGATGTGCGAAGAAGATGACAAGTTTCAAATACGAGCTGGCTTCCAAGTCACTGCGGCGTCATAAGAAAAGACACCCCAACAAAGCTGCTTGGTCTGCTCTTCACGACACACATAAAGATTCCATAGCATTTTTACGGTGTGACGTGGCCAGCGGCTTTCGAGGGATCGCGCAAGAGATGACGCTCTCTCTACGGTGCCCAACAAGCAGCCAGATCGACCGGACCACTCATCAACACCGCCTGCACTGTTCGACGCATCTCTATATGCCAAGTGGACTCCACCCGAAGAGAGGACCCTCAGTTTTATCGTTTACGGTTAGGTGCGGCATTTACGAAATCGTGTTCTTTCTGCATTAAAATGACCGAAAATACTCTCTGAAATAGCTGTAATTGTGAGGAGACGCTTCGCCATATACTGTGGTGTGACTCTCCGGTCTACATTTTGCAGAGACACTCACTCGCGTCCATCATAGCGCGCCCTGAAAATAGACAAATGTCTGTGGAATCCATTCTAGCATGTCGTCGACAAACGACATGGCGGTTTTTGAGGACGACGGACCAGGTCAAGCGGCTGTGAGAGTGATGTCGCGTCCCACGCCAGATAACTGGACTTTTACTGACTACGTGCTTGTGCTTGTGCTGCGAGATGTGCCTATGTCCCTTTCCTCTCCTTCTTTCAATCTCCCCTTTCCCACTTGTATAGCAAAACAGTTAAACTCGAGTGGTTGGCCTCCTTACATTCATTATTCTACGATTCCTTTCCTACTGCTGCTTAAGTTCTGCACCATTGTATAAACCAAGAAATAAGCGCTACACTGGAACGAAACTCACGATGGCAATAAACTAGTAACAGTCGCGAAGCGACTTAACTCGTAAAGTTATGCGAAGCAGCCATTAAGTATAAGAACAAGTTAGTATAAAGTATAGATTAGAACAAGTATTGTAATAAGTATAAAGAACAGAACAAAAAGTGGCCTAGGAACTATATTTAATCCAGCAACAGCCCGCTTGGGTTAGACACTGTTAGCCCTAAGCCAGTTATAAGCCGGATATAAAAGTTTTAGGACTCACCGCTCGAACTGGAAACTGTCAGGCGGCAATGCACCAGCCGTAATGCACAGGCAAGTCCAACATGAGCCACTGTAGACGTACAACTCCGAAAGCACACAAAAAAAGACGAAATAGTACAGAAGCTGGAACAAAGCGAGAAATGAAAGAGGTACTGGGATAGGCTATAGCTTAATGTCCCCTTAAGTTCAGCTCTGTCCTAAAGGAGGTTTCAAAGCAAAATCCTAAGTCGGCAAGCTTGTGCGAGCTATGAGTATAGAGCCGTTCAATTTCCGTCGGTTTGAAGACGAGGGATTCAAAATCGCAGCTCCGATTCTTCTATTTCCCAGGATTCGCTGGTCTTAAAGAAAAAATAAGTGGCAGACGAAAATGGGCCTTGAAGTTGTTTCATCTGAAAGGAACGTTTTGGAAGGACAGCTAGCCATTTACGAAACGACGTTGCTGAAACGCTAAAAAAAATAAGGTATAAAGAAGTGAACGCAGTTAAATCGGTCAGTCCTCAACGACCCCTCCTTAGCTCGTCTCCAGTTCTACGGTAGAGATCGCTTCCCGGCGTCCCGACGTACGAGAGAGCTCTTGAGATGAAAGCAGGCCCTGACCCGTCGTCTACGCGAAACCTGTCCGAGAGCTTAAGGCAAAACGATCCGAGTTGGCGTGGCTGGAGCGGCGAAATGCCAAAAAATGAGCCCACACGACCGCTCAGTCCAGGTGGCGCTGAGACCCCTGAGATGGTATGAGATGGTCGGCTAGAAGAAGCCGGTGGGACTGGAGAGAGAGTTTCGGCGAGAATGAGAGCCCGGGCGGCCCGCGTATGGGTCAACTCGATCGAAGAGAAGGCTGTATATTTTCCCTCGGCGCCGTGGCGACCGTCAGATCCGAGAGACTCATGTAGTGTTTTCTCGACTCAGTGGTTGTTGTAGTGTTGCTAAGAGCGTCCCCGCTTTTGTTGTGCCTTTGTCTTACCATCGCGTTCTGGGGTGATTTCGTGAATGAATCGCCTTGCGGAACGCTGAAAGCGGTGTGTGCAGGTTCCGTACGTGGGAAACGGTATACGCGAGCGGGAAAATTCGAAATCAGTGGATATTCGGAAGGAGGGTTGACGCAACAAAGACTACTTTATTCCTCGTTAATGAGAATTAACAGACAATATAGAGAAGAAATTATAGGCTATGTTATTTCTAAAAATTAAGATATAAATATGAGGTAAACAGGACGAAAACATAACTTGCACGAGCAGGAACATGAACCGGAAACATCAGTCACCTTCAAATGCTTCATATTTATATGAAAAAACTTCAAAAATCATGCCCCACATTTTTCTTGGCAGTGTTGTCTGTTACTTCTCGTTAATAGTGTGTCCGACAAAAAAAATAGCGGACCCTTAAACTTGCCCTTGTCTATATTCGCCCTTGCGCGTCAAACTTCAACGTGAGACTCGGGGCCAGAGAAATTGAGCTACATTGTACAGATTCATGATGATATTACGTAGGCGTGCAGAGGCGGACACAACAAAAGAGATCAGAACAATGTTCGTGAAGTTATAATATGTTGTGTTGGTCTCTGGATGGCTGCCTTCTTTTGTCAAAAACGTGAGGCAACAATGAAAACTAAAACTGTCGCAGCTCACTCGCGTATACCACTGCAGTTATTCACTCGTTCATGGTTCCGATGAATCTCTCGTATTTCCATACATTTCTTATGAATCTGTAGTTAAGAATCGCAATGCCATTTAGCAGTGAAGAAATGAACTTGCACGCGCAGCAGAGCGCCGTTGATTTAAAGGTTCGATCACCGAGATCTCGTTTCTGTTTGAACTATATCGATCACTTGTTCATTGTTTCAGGAATGTTCATAGAACATCCAAAATATTGAAACCGAAGGTCCTCGACTGGCTCAAGTCAGCAGTTATATCGGTTAATATACACTTTACATGAGCATAACACATACAGAGCGTTCGCGCGCAAGATAAGGCAAAGGGGGATTTGAACGTCTTGACTATAAAAGCTTATTTACCCGCGGCAACAATACAGTAGTATATATTCGCTAATTACAATATACAAAAATAAATACAGTACCAACATAATCGTAATGATGACGTCCACACATAAGACAATAAATCGCAACTTTACTCGAAATAAGCGCCAGCTAAGTGTTCCGACGTTCTTTAAAATTGTTCGATTGAGTGCATTCAGAGATTGTGAGCGGCTCTGACTACTGCGGCATCTGGTGCAGCAGTTCTCAACCACGCGCGCCTTTCTAGGTGGCCTCTGTTCACCCTTTCTGCAGTGCCACGAAACACGAAGTTCACCTAAGGAATGCACCACAGCACCAATGCAAACGAGTGCTGAAGGCCATCACGAGACACCTAAAGCCAAGAATTAGAGTGTCCTCCAGAAGCTTTCCTTGAGTAGGAATTTATCTTAAGGGGGGTAGGATAGCAACGACAGGTGTGCAACTACTAAAGCCCGTCGCTCCGTTACCTTCAAAGCAAACACCACAAAATCTTCCAAGTCGCTTGAATGAGGATTTCGCCCTGCTGATCCTCCCCCACAGGGACAGCCTGCCATCTCAAACTGGGAGTACTGGGACGTCCTGCTCTCGTCTGGGGACGCGGCGATGCTGCTTGTTGCGGTGACTAGGGCAGCCGATGTCTTTGCGGCGAGAAGCATGGCTATGTAGGCATGGTGCGGAACCGCGCGGTGGTCCAGGGATACCGGGGGGTCCAATTACACTTGCTATAATAAAGTTTTTCTGTCTGTCTGTCTGTTACTAGATGTCTTGGGAATTTGTCAAGAAAATATATAGCCATTCTGAAAATACCCAAAGATATTATTATACCGTTTTGATTTTTCAAAGAAACATTTGTTAAAAAAATTTTGCTTGTATAATGGTGACATCCATTCAAGTTTTGGCATGCCCTCAGGGTGTTCTTCTGCAAAAGAAAAGTATTCATGGGCAAGACCACTCTTTACTAAATGTTTAGGTGTGTGATGACTTTAATTTTAGGGCTTTTTTTTTAAGAAAAAATTGTAAAAAATACAATTCTTGCTGTAAAGTATCTTTTTTTTTTGCTTCAGTAAAAGCATTTGTTATCTGGGAAGAAAGTCACAGAAGCTGGCACTTAACAGCTGCACTGGTTAAAAAGAAAATATTCCTTTTCAATGAAAAGAAGTGTTTAAAGAAAACGCCATTTCGAATTTAATAAATGAATAAATATATAAAAGCTAATAATGTCGCGTGATGATCGGGTGTTGCTTCAATCAGCTTTTATTTCTTCTTGCGAAATAAGGGGGCAGCGGAAAAAGAACTCGAGTTGCCGAAATGCAGCCGCGGGATCAGGCGCGTTTACAGCCATTTTCAAATGCCTTTCACAGCACATAAAAATTACACACTTCGTGGAAGCCCTTGTCAGCAATGCTGGAATATCGTACTACGAAAATTTGAAAAATCACATTTTCAGTCAGTTTTGCCCTCGATTCCCTCTTAAACGGCCTCCAAATAACCAGAGAAAATTAAAAAAAACCAGTGAGTACGTTACTCTGTTTGGTGTTTACTTATTCTGCAGTAGAAGTGGTGACGCCATCCGTTGGTTCATGACTTCAAGACGCGAAAATTGGCAGATTCCACGTACCTTGGAGATCGACGTTATGCGATGCGTGTGGAGGGAAGGTGACTGTATTGAAATTTTTTTATTAGCCGACATGTCAGAAAATGGCGCTAAATATATGTATAAATGTTGCACGCATAAACATATGTTATAGGGTACATGTTAGTATAACGAGTTGTTGGCACGTGTGCAGTGATGCCAACAGAAACTTGAGTATTAGAGCAACACCAGAAGCGATAAGCTTATATGAAGCGCTGCTTCTCGCGAGGATGGTAGCCCTCGACACATGCTGCTACATGAATGAACTTCAAGTGCATAATACCTAACTACAATTGACGTTAACCCGATGTGACGACTACATCATAGGAATATTTGTGTAATGTTTATAAAATTAGATAGCCGAGCACTGCGACCACAATTCAGGTTTCAAGAACATTTGGGAATTTTTGAAAAGTAGTTACCAAACCAGCCATGACTCTGTGCAAGAATGCTTGGTTGCCACAGAGAATGTTTGGCTTCAATTCCTGCGGGGACCTTGACACTTATACTTTGCATTCGTCGTGTCAACGCTGGCGATGTCAGGTTTTTCTTAACGCTCGCGCGCTGAAATTGCCCATGCTTGTTCTTGAGGTTCTTCGGTCGATGCCAAGTGCCAATGCCCTTCGGCACATACCCGCATACATGTGGTACTATACCCGCCCGTGGGTATAGGCAAATGTCAGAAATAAGTTTTTCTCGAAGTACACGAGGAGATTGTGCCATTATCCATGTTTTCACGAGCACGTCATATTCGTCAAACCATCTTATCGCTCCCATAGTGATTTTTGCTCACACCAAGTTAAGGGGGGGATGCCGAGGGCACCCAGACGTAATTAGATAGATAGATAGATAGATAGATAGATAGATAGATAGATAGATAGATAGATAGATAGATAGATAGATAGATAGATAGATAGATAGATAGATAGATAGATAGATAGATAGATGCCAAGCCTGGTGTAGTACCGAAAGAAATGTCTCGAGTTTGATGATAAGCTCTCGATTGGCCCATATAATAGGTAGTACATAAGTTGTGCATTGCCTCCTATGCCTTGTTCACACGTCTGTTGTATACCGCCGCAGATCACTCCATACGGTTCTTGGCTGCTGGCCCAAAGGTCATGGGTTCGACCCGGGCCATGGCAGCCGCATTTTGATCGAGGCGAAATGGTAGAAGCCCGCGTGCTGTACGATGTCAGCCCGTGTTAAATAATAACACCGGATGGTCGGAATTTCCGGAAACGTCCACTATACGACGTCTCTCATAATCATATCATGGTTTCGGGACGCAAATATTCGGATATAATTATCATTATTCGCTCGCCTCTTCAAGCTACCTTGTTCAGCAAGACTAGCGTACGGCACCAACCAGTTTGACTTCGTTTAGGGTGTTTTCACTTACGCACTCACGGATAACGCGGTGTAGGCGAGAAGAGCTGAATCGTGACGTGCTCAATGCTCAGTTCGTACATTCTCCACGCATTTTATGCGGAAATAATTGGCGGGGAGCGTTTGGCGCTTGTAGAAAGAGCAGTGAAGGCGAGACAGAAAGAAAAAAAAACATTGATTGATTGATGGATTTGTGGGGTTTAACGTTTCAAAACCACCAT